TGTAATAATAACAATCTGAATACTTCATGAGCCAACATTGTGATGTTACTACAAAAAATGCAAATACTATTTTAGACTGCATTAGTAGAAAAATAGTCTCCAAATCCCACAAAGTACTCATTGTATTTGGCACTGGTTGGGCCTCATCTTGAGTACTGTGTCCAGTTCTGGACACCGCAGTTCAAGAAGGATGCTGACAAACTGGACAAATTGGAACAATTGGAACAAGTTCAGAGGAGGGCAACAAGGATGATCAGCATTGTGAGGAAGTCTGAAAGAACTGGGCATGTTTAGCCTCGAGAAAGGAAGATTTAAGGAGATATATAACACTTTTCAAATATTTGAAAGGCTGTTATACAGAGGAGGGGCAGGATCTGTTCTCCATAAACCCAGAGTGCAGGACTAAGAACAGTGGGCTCAAATTACAGGAAACCAGATTTAGCTTGAATACTGTATCAGGAAAATCTTTGTAACTGTTAAAGCAGTATAGTAATGGAACCAATTACCTTGAGAGGTTTTGAGTGCTCCAAGGAATTCAAGAGAAACTTAGACAACCACCTGTCAGATATCCATTGATTTGTATTCCTGCATTGAGGAGGTGAATGATCTTATAGGCCCCTCCCAACTTCAAGATTCTATGAAAATGGTTTGGGATTAAGAATATCTCAGATTATCACATTTCTTCTTGGTATGAGACTACCTGAGGCTTCCTGTTTAATTTCAGGGCCCCTCTTCAAGTCCTCTTCAGATATTGTTTCTGATTATTTAGTAATTTGTTTATTATGACCATATATCAGCAATTTAAAAACAGTACCAAACAACAGAAAAACAATTAACAGTGCTCTCAAATGAAGTATATTTAAGTACTCATTTGAAATATGTAGTGCTCTTTGTGTGGTTTATAGATTGGGTTACCAGTTGTGCTTGCCATTGCACAGAATTTTGCAACCTTGGCTGTTACTTCACTTAAAGAATGAGAAAGAAGTGGGTAGACATAATATTTACCAGGTTTACCTGGGAATTTGTCACAACCATACCTCATTGACAGGGAAAAAAGCATTGTGAATGCACAGGTATTTTCCTTCTAGTAACTTGGATGGGAGTACATTACAACAGGTCAAACTGAAAACTCTAGATAACTTCTGAATTCTAACTGTAGTCCCCAACCACCAGATAATATGGGATTCTCTCCACAAAAGAGCAATATCCCAAATCCATTGTTTTAATCATTTTGAATTATTTTATTTTTTAAAGGGATAGTGTTTATGGTACAAATAGAGGGACCAAATAAAAGAAGGGGGGAAGGGTGGGCAAAGGTAAAATTCCAGAGAGCAAAAAGTATTCTCACATCTGCTTATACAATTATATTAAAAATGGAAATCATACAAAGATACTGTAAAAAGAAAACATTATAGCAGTTTTCCAAGGGATCTGTCATTACTAATCTTCCATTTTCTTTGACCTTCTCTTTCTTTTTATCTTTAAGTTTACTAATTTTATAGGTTTAGTATTATTTGGCCAAGTTTAAATCTATTGCTCTAAATCAATGTTATAATCATTAGTTTGTTTATTTTATCATATGTTCTTTTGCAACAAAATACCTTCTTAAATTGAACATTTATCTCCACTACTCTGTCTCCATATTCTAACCAATTTTTGTGCCCCCTCTTATTATGTCGTATTTTATTTTCCATCTTATGGACCACGCATCCACTCTCAAGAGCTTCATCTACTCCATGTATCCACTCTTTTGCCCCATCTGCCACAGCATGTGTCCCATCATCTCTTCTCCCTTTCATAGTAAAGTTCATGGTAAAGTTCACCATTTGCTGCATTTCTGCTGCTGACATCTCTGTAAAAGGGATTAACAAATTAGCTCTCCAGTGCATTATATCTTCACCTTTTTCTTCTGAAACCTTCTGGGGTTTAAGAATAACATTGTCTCTCTCCATCTTCACTGTAAATTCCATCGGTGTCCCTACGTCTATAGGTTGTTCAAATAGTTGGTCCATCCCTGCTTTTATCTGATATAGTCCGTTAAGTATAATGGTTGAATATTCTTGAGAATGTCTTGTTGTCCCATGATTGGAGGTATCTGGATTTTTTTCCGGTGGATAGTAACCATAGTAGTTATTCAGAATGGTAGCTTATGTCTTGGGGCAGAAAATATTTGTAATTCAATCTTTCTGTCCTCGGGCTTTGTAATTAGCAGTGGTTGATAGTGGGGAGGACTTTTCCCAAGACTGTTTCTGGCTTTCCCAGAAGTAGTTTATGGTTATATTGTCCTGCAGAAGCAAGTGTTATTGCTGCAATAGAAGCAATGCTGTTTTTCTCCCTCCCCCCTCTTTCTTTCTGTTTCTCTCAGTCACACCTCAGATGAAGTGGGGGAAATGTTCACCAGTTGGACCAGATGTAGGTCTAGTCACTTTCTCTGACAGATTACACCCCACTCTCTTCATTGTTTAGGTCCTTAAGAGTTCCATATGTAAAACAAGCCACTTATTTCAACTTTTGATCAAGATTGTTTCAAAAAATCCTTCTGTACTTTTACGCTTCCTTTCTTTGGGTCATTCACAGCTTTGTGCTAAGATGGCACCCACTCAGTTTCTGCTTCTAGATGGAACTTCAAAGAGAGGCCAGTCCAGGGATCCCCTTGGCCACCCCGCTTCTCAGTCAGATTCTGTTACTTTAGACTTTCACTTCTCCTAGTAAAAGTCCTTTCCCCCCAGGTTTGAAGGGATCGAAACCAAGTGGTCTTGGCCAGTTTCAGGAATCCTCCTGAAACCTATCCGATCTCACTGCAGTGAAGCTCCACCTCCACCAAATCCATTGTTTAATCATTTCCATGCTTTCAAGAGTCTGAGTTGCAACAGGTCTGGTGGGTTAAGCCTGTAAATCAGTAATTTCTTCACAACAGATAACCCCAAGCCTGAATGATGATTATCCGTTAGAATCAGGGGAGGTAATCTGAGGGGGTTAAGATTTACTTTAAACCAGAAACTGATTATTCAAAACCAACTTCTTATATCAAGTACCACCATCCACAATTCTCATCATAGGAAACCGAAAATGAATCATAAGAATTTAAATTTTACTGTCACAAGATAGTGAAAATATTGGTGAGAAACTAATTGTGTCTGATGCATACATTGTGTCACCACCTCACTTTGATTCATAGAATAATTGAGTAAGAAGGGGCCTATAAGTTCATTGAGTCCAGCTATTGACCAGAGTTTTAATATAAATTTATGTCATATTTTATCGCAGCTTGGAGATGGAGTGAGCTATTTAGTGATGGGCTTCAGATAATACTTATTTAAAATGGGTATGTGTAACATTGCTTTTGACTTGCAATGGCATCCTAGAACCAAACATGGCATATATGCCCTAGCAAATATGTTGCATAAAAAGCAAGCAGCTGTTGCTTATGCCCATTAAAAATGAATTCAAACCATGATAAGTATCTTGAATGTAACACATCCAGTATGCTTAGATTCTGAATGAATGTCTATAATAATTTGTCTCAGAAAACAGTTTTCTACACATATGTCGTCCCCCCCCCCAATGCTATGCACATGATGACCTTGTTTTGCTTTCCTTCCTTTCAGTTTCTTTCCAACAGCCATACCAGCAGCACATTTGGGAACTTCTACTGTTAGGAAATGCGTTAGCCATGCCTTTTGATTTTCTTTTTCCCCACTTTTTCCTCTTCTTTGGCTTCTTTGTTTTTGCCTCTTCTTTATTTGCTCCTTTGTTTTTTGTTTCACCTCTTTGATGAAGTATCCATATTCTTGTGATCCAAATGGTTAGAGGCAAGTGGTCAGAACTTCCAAAGAGCCAAACATCTAATTCTTTCGATCTTATTCCAATGGTGAATTATTGGAGAACTCAATGACACCAATAGATTGATCTTGATTTCCAATTCAAGACTGCTTCAGATCTAGCTGGCGTTGTACCTGCCACAGAAAGTATTATCAGTTTTGATCACCCCCACAATCTCAGTCACAGTGAGCTGAGGACATTCCCTGCATGCAACAGTTCCCAAGCATGAGAACACTGGGGGTACTCCCAGACTGGAAACAACAGGCACTGTCCTTTTTCTCATTGTTGATGCTGGCCGCTGTTGAGAATGATCCCTAGTCTCCACTTATTTTAGGGACTTGTTCATATACCACGATTACCCAGGTTGGCCTTACTCTTGGGATTATCTTTATTACACTGCTTCTTCTTTGTGGTCTCTCTGAATGCACACTAATGGGTTTAATCTGCGCTTAGAGTTCTCATAATAAGAAATATTCTGAAGTGGCTTACCTCTGCTGCCATTTGCCCAGTGCTAACAGATTTATCTTGAGTGTCACTGCTGTTATCTTTAAAAGTTCTTTGTGGTCTCTGTGAATCACACTGTGGGTAATCCGCGCATGTGCAGAGCCTCATTGGTCATTCTAGAGCTTCTGCGATAGCAAAAAGATATATTAGTGCAGACCCCTCCGCCCCCGGTATATGTACCTTGGCACCAAGGCTCTCCCTTCAGTTCCTTCCAACCACCACATTGCGAGCCTCTATCGTTCCTTCTGCGAAAGCTGAAAGTGAAAGAAAAGGAAAGTTATTCAATCTTGTTTTATTTTATTCAGTACTTTAATATAACAACTATTATTAACTGATGCTTGTAATAATAAGAAAACCATGCCGGCCTTAGGGCTGAAACAATTCTCCCCCCACAAACTGATCTTCAGTTCATGACCTCTTCTGCCCACGCAGAAGAGTTTAAATGCTGCGTGGCCTGCAATTGCAAGATTCCACTCTCAAACGGCCACACTAAGTGTCTTTTTTGTCTTGGTGAGGCTCATCAAACCTCATTGTGTCCCCATTGCAAAAACTTTAGGCACAGAGTTCTCCACACCTGTCTTTCCAGGCCTAAGCTTCACTTCTGGTAGCAACCTCTCCAGCCAGATAAACCCATGGCACAGCCCTTCTGCAAGTCCATATCCCACGCTAAGGCCATGGAAAAAGCAGTTTCTGAAGTGGCGAATGAATGCTGGTCCGCTACCCCTTCGCACCCCAAGTCCACTTCTATGACCACGCGAGCACACAAAAGTAAGCAGTGAAAGTCAAAACTCTAGACATTGAAAACTGTGCCGAAGAGGAAACTGTCAATCGACGCGTCCTCGGTGCCAGAACCTTTGCCTCTAAAGTTACTGCTTTGAGTGGATTGTTAGTACTAGTTCTTTTTCCATTTTTGCGTTTTCCATTTCTCAGAGTGGCATTTCATTTTGGGTTTGGTTTTATATTAGTCTACTTACTGTTTTTAGCTTTAATATTGCATTTTAATGATGTAAGCTGCCTCTTTATACTAATTGTTCTTAGCCTTAAATATTGTCTTTTAATGATAACCACCATTATATAATCATTGTTTTCAACTTTAACTATTGTCTTTCAATGCTGTAAGCTGCCTTGGATCCTTTCCAAGGAGAAAGGTGGGGTAGAAATATTTTAAATAAGTACAGTTGTGTTCAAAATTATTCAGCCCCCACTGAAATTGAATGTTTTGGCCATTTTGACATTGATTTTGATCATTCAGTCATCTTGCTTACATTTACATGAAAGAGGCACTTGTAGGTCAGAGAAATATAACCTTAAGTTTATAATGAAATAACCACAAATGTCTTTTCTGTGCTCACATCATTATTAGTTTTTATTCAACCCCCAAGTGACATTCAATCTTAGTACTTAGTACAACATCCTTTTACAGTTATAACAGCTTTTAAACGTGAAGCATAGCATGACACAAGTGTCTTGCAGCGATCTACGGGTATCTTCACCCATTCTTCATGGGCAAAAGCCTCCAGTTCAGTCAAATTCTTAGGCTTGCGCACTGCAACTGCTTTCTTTAAGTCCCACCAGAGGTTCTCAATCGGATTTAAGTCTGGTGACTGCGATGGCCACTCCAAAATGTTCCAGCCTTTCCTCTGCAACCATGCTCTAGTGGACTTGGAGGTATGCTTGGGATCATTGTCCTGTTGAAAGGTCCAACGTCTCCCAAGCCTCAGGTGTGTGACGGACTGCATCACATTTTCATCCAATATCTCCTGGTACTGAAGAGAATTCATGGTACCTTGTACACGCTGAAGCTTCCCTGTACCTGCAGAAGCAAAACAGCCCCAAAGCATTATTGACCCTCCGCCATGCTTCACAGTAGGCAAGGTGTTCTTTTCGTCATATGCCTTGTTCTTCCTCCTCCAAACATAGCGTTGATCCATGGGCCCAAACAGTTCTAATTTTGTTTCATCAGTCCACAGAACACTATCCCACAACTTTTGTGGTTTGCCCACATGACTTTTGGCATACTGCAGTCGACTCTTCTTATTCTTGGGAGACAGCAAGGGGGTGCGCCTGGGGGTTCTGGCATGGAGACCTTCATTACGCAGTGTGCGCCTTATTGTCTGAGCTGAAACTTCTATACCCACATCTGACAAATCTTTTTTCAGTTCCTCAGCAGTCACACGGGGACTTTTCACTACGCTTCAGGTAGCGCACAGCAGTCAAAGTCAGCATCTTCTTTCTTCCATGACCAGGTAGCATTTCAACAGTGCCCTTTGCCTTGAATTTGCGAATGATGCTTCCTATGGTGTCTCTTGGTATGTTTAACTTCTTTGCAATCTTCTTATAGCCATTGCCCTTCCTGTGAAGACAAATCACCTCTTCTCTTGTCTTCCTGGACCATTCTCTTGACTTCACCATGTTTGTAACCACACCAGTAAATGTCTAGAAGGAGCTGAGTATCACAGTCATTTTAAAGCTGCCTAATTGGTGCTTATTATGCTTGATTGGTGCTCGGTGACATCCACAGGTGTTTTCAATACCTGATCGAAAACACCTGAATGAACCTCTCTTCTTCAGAGTGGTAGTCTTTAAGGGGTTGAATAATTGTGGCAATGAAGAAACCACAAAAGAAACATTTACTACTGTATTACATAAACAATTGATGTTATTTTAGTTGCATTTGGTTCTTTAAAACGTCCTTGTAGGATTTCATTCTGAATACAATTCCAAATGTACACTATAGTCCCTAAACCCCTTTACAGCATTGGGGGCTGAATAATTTTGAACACAACTGTAAATAAAATTATGCAAACAACTTGGGACTTTTTTCCTTTGATGATTTACTGTGGAGAACAGGAGGGAATGTTGGCATTCAACCAGTACCAATCCCTTCCTAAGTGGTAGCTTGGGTGGTTGGCTGCTTGTTTGTTTACATTATGCACATTCATCTGGCCAGCATATCTCTTAACACTAACACAAGACTGAGGCGACTAAAGCTGGAGAAACTAAAGCTCCAAGGAGAAGCTCAATGATCCAGAGTTCTTCCCAATTTGCTGTGGTCCAGTGGATCCACTCATGGCCAGTATCAGCCTAAATAGTAGACTTATTTGCAACATTTGTAGAATGTTTTTGAGGACTTCAGAGCAGCATGTTGAACTCTGTGAAGCAAGATGAAGACATGGCAAGAAGTGCATTGAAATTCATTATCTGGCTCAAGTTGCACTCTTCTTTTTCAAATACCTTCTCATAAACTGGTGTCTTTGTCAAGCAAAACATTCAGAAGCAGACAGCATAAAGTGCAATGATTGTGGCATAGCTTTGATAAAAAGATGTGTTGGCAGACAGTGATTATATTCTTTAGAGAAAAAGTAAGGTTGTTTCCATGACCATGAATGATCCAGTGATGACTGGAGAAGACTTCATAATTATGAATGTCAAGCAACTGTTTCACTGCTTCATTTGTGTCTTTAAAAGCAAAATTGGTATTGTAACTTGCCTTTTAAGAAACACTATGTCTGACATCACATTTTGGCAAGGACTTCAGACATCTTTGGTACATACAAACAGTATATATCAATACAACCAATATATTTTGGTTTTAAACTCTTATTAGTAATAACACAGAGTGTGGTTACACTAGGAAAAATGTATTTGAATCAGGCTTAGCATGTTTTAAGCCAGCTTTTAAAAGGTGACTACAAGACAAACATGGAAGTGCAGATTTTCTTTTTGGGAAGCATGTTTTTGGATGGAAAGCAAAGTATTTTATTAGGTGTATTCGCGAAGGCTTTCACGGCTGGGATCTAATGGTTGTTGTGGGTTTTTCGGGCTTCTTGGCCAACACGGCCAAGAAGCCCGAAAAACCCACAACAACCACTATTTTATTAGGCATTAAGAGGGTTGTTTATTTTAACTAACTTGTGAAATTGATTTAGTTTGAATCATTTTGGCATATGTGCACGTCTCTGTGGTGCCTTCTCAGGGAACAGCTGGAACATTCTTAAAGGGTTAGAAGCAGTCCATTTTTCCAAAGGGACAAACAGCTTTGCCAGCAAGCAACTCCGCAATTCCACAGGCCTTTTCATCTGCTTATATAGCAGTATGTCTCGGCTTGTGATGGTCTTCATTCCTTGTTAGTTTCAAGATCAAGTCTCACAAGGTCCACTCCTTACCTCTTTGCAAACATCTTGAAGAAAAAGACAGTAATGATAAGGAATGTTTAAGTTTAAAGGAGGAGATTGCCTGCCTCCTGTCAGGTCAAGAGGGGAGTCATCCTGGGGGATGTCCACGATCTATCCTAGGTTGGTGTTCTTTGGAGCCAAAAGGAGCCAGAATATTTTCAAGAGCCATGCCTTGGCTTCTTTCTCCTTTTAGTCCCTAGCAGCTCTATCTCTCTATGCATGTTTTCCAAAATACTGCTTCTATCTGCCTCCCAGGAAACAGCTGGATCATTCTTAAAGAGACAGAGGCATCCAAGCTTTCCAAAGGGACAAGCAGCTTTGCCAGCAGACCCTCCACAACTCCATAGGCCTTTCCACCTGCTTGTGTAGCAATGTGTCAGTTGAAAGGGGGCAGGGAAGCAGCCTCTGTGTGTGTGTGTGTGTGTGTGTTTTGCCATTTTAAAATAAATAAGTAAACAAACAAACAAACAAACAAACAAAACAGCAACCAGCGGGTGGGAGAAAGTTACTGAGCTCTGGTTAATTTCTCTTGCCATCCATCTTGCCAGCACTGGCTGCCATTCCTTTGCTCCCATCTGTGTGTGTGTGTGGCGGGGTGTGTGTGAGGAGCCATAGCAGTGTGCCAATTTGAAATACATTTTTAAAAAATAGAAATAGAAAAAAAATTAGAGCAGCAGGAGGAAGTGGCCAGTGGGAGGTCAGTCAGGTGGGCGCAGGACAAAACCTCAGCTGCAGTGATTTTAAAAGCCCATGTAGCCTCCTCAACTGATATACAACACAGCTTAGAAATGGATTAAAAGTTTTCCCAGGAGGATGCACATAGACCCAAATCCCATATGACTACCATGTGACTGTAACCTGATTTCAAAAACCCCGATCAAACTACCGATTTATTTTCATAGTATAAACATGTTCTAAGATGAAGACAAACATATCTGCCTGTTAGAAAGGGAGGAGGGCATACAAAGGACTGGAAACAATCAAACAATACTGATGTCAGGAGGAAGGCATGACCAAACATGAAAGTTACCTGCTTATTTGTATGGCCATGCAATCTGTTACTTTCGCAGGTAAAGAGGAGGTTATTGAGGGAAAGAGTGACTTCATAGTTCCTCTTGTTGCAAAGAAGACATTGCAGATTTGTTCAGCTGTTGCTGAAACAGAGGCTCAACATGACAAAAAGTATTCCGTAGTAAGCAGCTTTAGTTAGCGGCAATAACATTATATTCCACTCTAACTTGTCGTTCTGCTAAAAACTGCTATGGAAGAGGTGCATAACAAGTCTTTAGGCAGGTTTTTTGGAATGCTGTTCTTCATAGACACATAGATGAATTTAATAACATAAGCTGAACACTCTATGAAATGGTTACCACAGAAGAAACTAATAAACTGTTCATGTAAAATTTGATCTCACAGGATCTCTTGAATGTCCATTGCTGCAAAGTTGCAAAACTTCAGAATCTTCTGTCTGTTTCAGCTGTGGTGTGCTGCCACTGGGGGTGCAGTGGGGCAGGAATTTGGATTCTGATAGGTTGAAAACCATTCCATTTTTACAGGCGGTAGCGCCAAATAACTTTATTCATCTTGTTATTTGCAATGCCAAGACAGACTTAAAATATGTTGATGAGTGTGACAACCCCAGACCTACCGGGATATGCCACAGTTTAACTAAGCTGCCACCAACCATTCCCTGTAAGGAGTCACACAGACCAGGAATGGATTTTTAACAAATAAAGGAATAAGGTTTATTTAAATAACACACAGGGAAAATAAAATGATCAAGTGAATATGATACAGTAACGTGGCTTAGTCTCAATCATACATACACCAGTTTGGTTCACACAGAACACCTTTAAATAAAGCACAGACCCTGAACCTATCAGTTCTGGCTAACCATACAGACACCTGAACCTATCAGGTTGGTACTGACTGACACACAGTAGTACCCTGTCTGACACACAGACTCCCACACCAGCTTCTTCTCTCAGCTCTCCTCCAGCTCCTCCTTCTTCTCCACACAAGCTCCACATATATATACAGTACAGCCCCTCCTCCTGATGTCCCGCCTTCCACTCCCCATAGGATGGAACTTTCCCTCCAACCCATGACAGACAGGTAACATCAGTGCTGTATGTAACAATGAGCATAGACAAATATAAACTTGTTAGTGCAGAAAAATGTGTATGGTACCGCATTGTTTTTATTACCGTGTTTCCCTGAAAATAAGAAAGGGTCTTATATTAATTTTTGCTCCAAAAACACATTAGGGCTTATTTTCAGGGGATGTTTTATTTTACAATCATGTCATCTTCTGGTTGCTGCACAATGCTGCACAATGGTGGAGGGTGGGGTTTCACTTAACTAGGGCTTATTACGAGCATCCTGAAAAATCATCCTAGGGCTTATTTTCAGGTTAGGTCTTATTTTGGGGGAAACAAGGTAATTATTGGTATTAATTAATTATTTGTATAAATAATAATTTTATTTACTGCCATTTGATATGGTATACTCAACAGAAAAGAAATTTAGAAGATGCTATAAAGGATGAAAGAACAAAGTCAAATTATAACTGCAGTTATAAAATTTCATTTTTATGGTATATACTGGGCTTTTCCCCCTAAAGCAAGTGTTTTAGTTTACTGTTTTTATTTATCAACAGGGTATGCTGCTAAAGAGAAGTGGCAAGTCATTGAATAAAGAGTGGAAGAAGAAATACGTTACTCTGTGTGATAACGGTGTACTGACCTATCATCCAAGTTTACATGTAAGTGTGCATGCATTTTACAGTGTTCAAACCCATCTAACAGACGCACAGTGGAGAATCAAACTCCCAGCCTCTGGCTTGATAGCCAGATGACTAACTCACTGAGCTAACCAACCAACTACAAGTAATATGCCAGTTAGAAAATATCTTCAAGATTTTGGCAGTAAAACTCAGTAAGATACTAAGCAGGCATTCTGTCATCTATTGATTTGTCTATATGCCTTTTGCCCACATATGTTTGAAGACTATAATTTCCATCTGTTTATTTAAAGCAGATCTGTTAACATCTTCCTCATATCTAACATTATTCTACAGAATCAAATTATTTCTACCAACATGTTAACATTTTCTAGAATCTCTTTACAAAAGGAGAAAGAAATGTAGGATGCTACAAATACTTTACTAAAGATATGAGTTGCAGAACAAATGTCTCTTTCCAGATGAGTTGTACAGTGGATTTCATTGGATGTTTTCATTTTCTTTTCTCTCTCTCTTTTAATATCAAGTATCTGGCAAGAACAAATAGTTTTATTTACAAGCAAAATAAAGAATTCATTGAAAGCCTTTTAAAGGAGTGGGCGGCATATAAGTTAAATAAATAAATAAATAAATAAATTCATTCATTCATTCATTCATTCATTCATTCATTCATTCATTCATTCATTCATTTATTTATTTAGTATGTATGTATTTATTTATTTATTTATTTATTTATTTATTTATTTATTTATTTATTTATTTATTTATCAGGTTTGTAAAATGGAGATTACCACTAAGAAAGCCAATATTTGCAGACCAGTGATTGGGCCAATTTATAATGTGTACTGCAGGGTCAGAAGACCAGCAGTCGTAAGATCGAATCCACGTGACAGAGTGAGCTTCCGTCACTTTGTCCCAGCTCCTCGCCAACCTAGCAGTTCGAAAGCATGTAAATGCGATTAGATAAATAGGGACACCCCCCCCCCGGTGGGAAGGTAAACAGTGTTCCGGGTCTAAGTCGCGCTGGCCACGTGATAATGGAAACTGTCTTCGGACAAAATGCTGGCTCTGTGGCTTGGAAACGGGGATGAGCACCACCCCCTATAGTCGGACACAACTGGACTAAATGTCAAGGGGAACCTTTACCTTCACCTATAATATGGGTAGGTTCAGATGAATGAAGATAAGGCGTGAAATAATCTAGATTCAAAATGTTTAGCATCAGCAGTTTAAATCAGACATAAAAGTGCAGTTAGACAGAACAGTGTTCAAAGTAATAAGGTTGTTCTTGACTATTTGTTTATTAATCTCAAGCTGCAGTCCTATCCCCACCACTTGTACTTCACATTTGCCTGGAGGGTCGTAGACTGAGCTGAAGTAAGAATTGAGAAATTCTTCCTTTTTGGTCATATATTCCCAGTTTTCCATCTCTGCTAAGCAGTTCAGCTATTTTTCTCTGACTTTTACTATGCACGTACCTGATGCTTTTCGGATGCTTTTAATGTTTCTTTAATCTCAATTCATTCTCATTTTATGGCTTCCTAATTCCATCCCTGCAGTTCTCTGCTACTAGTATGAATTCTATGGCCTGGCCTTCCTTCCATTTCCTATTTGTGTCCTTTTTTTGTTTTCAGGCCACCTTTGAGCTTTTTGTGAAGCCACATTTTTATTTTATTTTATTTTATTGCTATCTCCCACCTTCTTTTCTCGTTGGACTCCTTTTCCTGTTAGGATCTACTGCCACGGGACCTTACTCAAATCCATCACACATGTATGACTACATTCCAATTTTGTTTCATTTGAAATCAAGAACAAAAGTAGAACATGGTCACTGTCCCCAGAGTTTTCGCCTTGTTATCTCTTTATCAACCAAGTTGTCCCTATGGGTTAGAATCAAGTCCAATATAGCTAATCCTCTGGTTTCTTCATCCTCTTAGGATAGGATAAAATTATCAGCCATATAAACCAGGAATTTCTTGGAAGAGCCTTATTTGGCAGAATTTGCCTCCCAACAGATCCTAATCTTCACTTTTCCAGTCATGGGAGTCACCAGACCAAGTTTCAGTTATCCCTATCAAATTATATTTATCCTTCTGAACTAAGATTTCCAGTTCTTGTTTGTTTCCCATATTCCTGGCATTCTTATATAGTCCTCGAAGGTTGTGTGGATTGTGGTCTGCTTTCCTTCTTTAATTTTTATGAAGATTATTATTGGGCCCCTTTATTTATTTATTTATTTATTTAGTTATTTATTTATTTATTTATTTATTTATTTATTTATTTATTTATTTATTTATTTATTTATTTATTTATTTATTTA